AGAGTAAAAAGTGCAGCTACTATTTATGTCTGCAGAACAGAAAAAAACTACAAATCATAAAGACCCCGAGTGCTGCCAGGTGGATGGTAACCAAACACCATCTTTGAGTGTTTGTTTTCTGACACTAAACCAGGGTGGTAGATGGAAGGAGAGAATGTTTCTAACTTTAGTAACAACATGCATCAATTTTAGGAAGCAGTGTTAATCAGAAACATCCAACAATAAAAATATTGGTACAGAAGAACTTTTGTGTTTAGGGTGGAGGTGTATGAAGCCCTCAGTGCTCATCATGGTCCAGCTTTGGGAGAACATCTGAATCAGGGTGTTGACTAATGCTTCATGAAGCCTTGTTTAACAGCAACTGGGGGCCTAATCTGTCTCAGCTCCTTTGTATGTCCCTGAGCTGTCTGGCTTAATGTCTGCCTAGTCATTACACTGGTCCAATTCACACTGTGTTGACACGAACTGTCAGCTGATTAGGATGGAGCAAAAAGACATGTTTCATTATCTTTCACAAGGTAAAAGAGCAGAAAGGGAGACCTTTTGGTGCTTGGTTTGTTCTACTGAAAGAACACGGTAAGGTCAGAGCTTTATTACCAGAGAAACACAAAAGGTCACGGATGCTGTCACCTTTAATCCTGTTCAGAGTATCGTTTTATACTTCTAAAAACAAAACTTTTCCGGTCTTTTACTAAAAAGATATGCTGGAAAAACCTGAATGCACAGGTTAGTGTCAAAGAAAAATAAAAGTTTAGATTTAAACTTTCTGATTTGTTTGATCGTGGCTAACAACAGGACTCGAGCTCTGATTGGATCGTGGCTCGGATCTTATGAGATGAGTTTCTGTGGAAAGGCTGTAAACAAACAGCATCTGACCTCCTGTAGATTGCACTTTGAACAGCCTCAGTTTGAAGAAACAAAGGTCAGTCCTGAGCCAACAGAAGAGCTGATGCCTTGTCCGAGTTACCAAGTGTTTCTGCTGACCTAAAGGTTTCAAAGCTTTAAACCTTTACACAGCAGTAACATTCACACCTAGCTTCTATGTGTAAGAAAGTAAAACTTTGGAGGAGGTAATGACCGCATTGTGAAAGAATCAAGACAAACTGAATAACAAATGAACCAAACCATTACGTATTTGATGTTGCAACCAATCAGCTTATTTTTGATTGTTTTTTTTAAATATGTAAAGTATAAAAACATTAAACACACCAGGGACCTCATTTAGGAAATTTTGATTAGATTCCTTATTAAACTGTTACTTCAAGCAGCTTTCTGGAGTTTTCCCCTTCAGAAATTATGTATGATTTGTCAAAAATCCGTAAAAGTGATTATCTTATCATGTACTCTGATATAATTTAAGCAATAAGTCTTTTTTTTTTTGTTAAGCATGCCCCCTGCCCCGCAGAGCTCCATGCAATAGGAAACTGAGTGGCGGCCAGAACTAACCAATAGCGTCAGACTACCGCTTACTTGCTTCAAATTTATGGAATACCTTGGCTGATGCAGAGTAGCTGAACTTTTCACGGACAAGTAAGTCTCTAAAATATAAATATATGAGAACACAACATGACATGAGAATTATACTTGTAAAACAACGTGTTTTAGTTCTGTTTGCCAGTTACAGAAGCACATTTATAAACAGAAATGTGAAGTCACCATCTTAAAAAAACAGAGCAACAGAGTTTTTGTGTGATATGCTTGTCAGCAACTAGATGGCGCCATCGGATAAGAGAAATACTCTGGAAAGAAGCAAAAAGAGAAAAAAAAAAGAAGAAAAAAATCTGCAAACTCATTTTTGGATCTAAAAAATGCTGCTCACACACGGCTCCACACACTTCCTGCTTTATAAATCACATCTGTCCTAGAAATGTTCTCAGGTGTTTGGATGACATCCTGCCACCTGCACACCCACTTTCTGCCATAAATAACAGTGTTATGAATACTCTGCACACACAAAAATCTGCTGATAGAGAGTGTGTGTGTGTGTGTGTGTGTGTGTGTGTGCGTGCGTGCGTGCGTGCGTGCGTGCGCGTGCGTGCGTGCGTGCGTGCGTGTGTGTGTGTGTGTGTGTAGAGGTCTACAAGTCTGAAAATGTGTCCTAAATTAAACATTACCATCTAACCAGCTTGCCGCCAAGTTTCCCGTCTCTGAATTTTGCTTCCAGGTCCAAAGTTTGCTGATCAAATTTTTCTATCAAGTTTTTTCATAAATCAAACAGTTTGCACGTAAAGGTAGTAAACGTAGTTTTCAGACCCCATTTTACGCATAAGCAAGTTTTAATAATGAAACCCTTAATGATTAAGATGTTCCTGCAGATGACCTTTGTGACACATAAGTATCTCATAGATTAGCCTAAACTCTGGATTAAATGTCTTAGATTTTTTGAGGAAACAGTCACTTTAAACTTGTATTTGATAAGGAAGCAGCCAATGTTGGTCTCAGGCATTAGTTTTAAAGTGGCTCGTGAAAGGACACCCCCATCCTGTCTTCTTCCTGAACGCAGTGCTGAGTATTAGACCAAACCTTCTCTTCTGCACGTATACTTTGATCCGCGTTGTCACTTAGCAACATGCTACCTAAGCGTGTTGATTGTTACCCGTCTGCGTTGACCCACGTTCTTCCTGCAATACACTTTTTTGATCAAGACAACCAAATGTGGATGTCGTCTACAAGTTTTGAACCTGAAACCAGCTTCATTTGTGCAAGCATCAGTGTAAGAACGCGAAAGATTTTAAACTGAAGTTATATCTCTATTAATCACCTGACTATAGCCACCCCACCCTCCCCCCGCGACATCGACGAAGGCTCTCAGGAGACCAACACGGACACTTATAGGGAGCCAGCTCAATAAACAACAGTTTATTGGTGGGGGTCTGAATACACCACCATCCCTGGACGCTATCAGGGCAGAATCTTATTGGTTCTGAGGGATATCAATGAAGAGAGGAGACGAGCTGCTGCTGATAAGATCAGATTTGTCAGAATTAACCAGACAAATCCCAGATTTGAGCTATAAAAGCAGGCCTTGTATGCACTCATAGACGTGTGATGCATTTCCAAAAGCTTTGTAATTGCTACAGTTGTTATTATTCTTCAGATATAAGAGCAGGAAATCACAACAACTGATTTGAGATCTGATTCTTGAACAAAATGAAACAAAAATTTGTGGACTAATTGAAATAAAGGAAAAAAGTAATTGAAGGGATATTTTTACCTTTCTAAAGGGGTATCTGTGTAAGAGTTATCAGTAATCAAAATTTTATCCGTCAGGACTGATATGCTAACGGCTAGTCTGAGTGAAGTTAATCATCTACATGTGTGAACAACACTATCAGCCGCTAAATAAAAAGTTTAAGATGCATCATGCAGTTTTCATGTTTGGAAAAAGTTGAATGTTTATGAATGATGAAAGTAAAGATTCACAAAGGAACAGTTCGTGAGCTGCTGTGAAACGTTAGACTTTAGAGCTGATTTAAAACGCAACAATGCACTTTGATCCTACTTTCTTGTTTTATCTTTTTCCAAACTAAAAGTAGATATAAACAAATCTCTAGAGTATCCTCCAGAAACCCTGCAGTGTTATGTTGAGATGTGTTCCCCAGTCAAAACCGTCTCCCACTAAACACACCTGTCTGTCTTCAATGGAGAGACCACCCACAGGAGAAGAGAAATAAACTGCAAGTGTCGACAATAAAGATGGGATGTCAAGTCAAACTAAGCAGAGCAAAATTTATAGAAAAATGTGAAAATATTTTCAGAACATTAAAGTCAAAGTAAAGAAGTGGAAATAGTAAAATAAATAAATAAAATAAATAAAGTCAATGAATGCTTTTACTCCTGAAGCAGACTTTAGACTTTTTTTATTTACAAAGAATCTTTTTATTTTATTTCTCCACATTTTCTTAAATGTCTACACTGATTTCTCTGGGTGGCCTTAACAGGTCATAATGATTACCCTCATTAACTGAACCCGACTGGTTAACAGGTTACGCATATAGCTTAATACCAGTATTTTAGAACAAGAACTAAACTAAACTAAAACCAAATTTTTCTTAAATTAAATAAAATCATGAAAATAAATGCAGATATTTGATATGAGGTCAAACTTAATGACATTATTAAGATTTACATTATTATTTACATTATTTTAAAACCTGTTTTGTCCAAATTAACTAAAAATTCAAATAAGAAAAAAAACATTGATAACTCAGGTTCGGTAAAGATCTAAAACAATAAAGTCTTAAGAAAACTGCAAATAAAGGAAACTTTGATCCTCTAATTCAGGCGTGTGAACCCTGGTCCTCCAGGGCCAGTATCCTGCACGTCTTTGCTCCAACACTTCTGATTCAGTGGTTGAATCACCTGTTCAGCAGCTCATCAGGCTCTGCAGAAGCCTGTTAATCACCTGCTGACTGAAATCAGGTGTGATGATGCAGGGTTACTAAAATATGCTGGATAGCGCCAGCTCTGGTGGACCAGGGTTCCCCACGCCTTCTCTAATTACTGTGTTAGTCTGTTTTAGAAAACACCCAATGTGTCTGAAAAATCACAGTAACAGACTGCATTTCCTGTTTTCCGTGGAAAATTAGAAACATGCAGCTGACTTATTACTTTTTAAGCACTGAGGGCCATGCCTTCTTATTTTAGGTGTAATGTCAGTGTTCCCTATTTTGCCTTAAACAAGCTGTGTTTTGAAAATGTTGTTGTAAAATATTTTTTAAAACATAAAGCAAAAAACGCTCCCAAAATAATTAAAATAGACAAAAAACATGCCTCAAGCCTGAATAAATATGATTAAATAAGTATGATTCTCTGAACTGAGGCTGTTCGGTAATCTAACTTTTACACATAGCGCAAAAATGTCCAATATGACTTATAACTGGTATACTGGAGCAGATCATAAATAAATCCGATGTGATTAAATGAGAAAAGACGCTCTAAAACATCAGCTGGTCAGAAACCGTTATTGGAAGCTTAAGAGGACCCAGAGTGGGTCTTACCTGTACCAGTCCAGTCCCTTCTCGTAGAAGCGGTCGAAGAAGTGCGGCTCTGCGCCCACGGCTCTCACGTCTGGATGGATGCGTAGAAACTCCAGCAGAGCCCGCGTGCCGCCCTTCTTCACCCCGATGATGATGGCCTGTGGGAACTTTTTGCTGCCAAAACTATTAGAAATAGAAATATTGTTCGATTGAGGAGATGCGCTCTTTGGCACGTGCGACAGCTGTTTCCGCACCAACGAGACCGGAGAGGCAGTGAACGAGCCCTGCGGTTCCGGTTCTAGCCCATCCTGTGAGATGGTTTGGTGGTTGCAGTAGTACACAGGTCTGGGGAGGGAGTCGCAGTATCCGTTGAGACAGTAAAAGTAGTAAGTGAAGAGGATGATCATGGTAAAGAAAGCAGACAGCTTGTGCGCCTTCAGGTGTCCAAAGTTGAACGCAGCTCTCCATTTACTACATCCCATGGGTCGCAATCCGGATCAGGATACAGCCTAGGAAACACGGCGCATCAAGCGACTTCATGCTGATTTCATCACCAACTCAGGAGATACACTTCAATCTCTTGATCCGCTCTTGGCCAAAAACGCGCCCATTACGCATGGTGGAGCTCCACATTTCCCTCGATTATCCAGTGTACCTCTGATTTTATATGAATTCGTCAAGAAACAGCTACAGACATCTCCAGTAACCTCAGCCCGGCTCCGATCAGGTGGGCATTGCCGCGCTCCGTTCCGTCTGTGCTCTCCCTGCGGCTCCCTGGCGAGGAAACCCTGACTACACCCCCTCCGGTCCAGATCCACGCCCTGATTACCAAACACACGCCCCCAGCCCAGTCTCCTCAAGTTGACAGGTGAAAAAAATCTTTCAATCAAACTATTAGAGCCATTCCTGAGAAACACGGTAGTTAGTTTAATCGCTTTGAATGTGTTTGAGTAAATGATGAAGGGATTTTTAATTTTACAACCAGGAAGGTGATGTAACTGAATTTCCTCTTTACATCACCACATCCACTTTTAACTTATTATTTATCATCATTGATAAAATACGCTTCAGAACAGGTTACCAGAGGCGCAGCTGGGGGGGGGGGGGGGGGGGGGGGGGCTGGCTAGCGAATACATGAAGTCTTGGTGTGGCGATATGAGTAAAAAAACTGTTGGGAAATGGAAAAAAATCAGTAATTTACCTTCTCCAAATAAACAGTTTGACAGACGTGTTGCTTCTCACCAGAGGACCTTTGTCAGTTCTGACAGGAACAGTTCCTCTAATGATGAGCGAAACGTCTTCAAGAAACCAAAGGAATCTTCATCCAAACCCCTTTGGATGACCTGGATGAATGAGAGCCCTCACCAGCATAGATTCAGTTGAATTTACAACATTTGGTAACACTTTACAATAAGGGTCCCTTTATTAACGATACTTAGGGCGTTATTATGCATTAATAAACTATTAAATAAAGTATTAAGAACTGCATAATATTAATGTTAATATTAAGTAGCACATTACTAAGCAGATACACACTCCTGGCCCTTTGTCCTAACATTAAAGACACTTAATAGTTAACAATATTGGGAATGTTAATAAAAGAATCATTTGTTTATTAATGCTTAATAATGCACTAAGTAACATTAATAAAAACACCCTTATTGTAAAGTGTTACCCAGCATTTTAAAAATAAAAATGCTGTATAAAAGCAGATGGAGTGATAAGATAAAATGAGAAATGGTAAATGGCCTGTATTTGATTTGATTTGATTTGAAATGTGTTAAAGAATAACAGAACTCCGCAAATAACAAAGAGTTTCTGTTTCTAATTCCATTTTTGGTTCTTTTATAAAACACAGAAAACGTTTTTTTTTTTTTACCTTGCTGCTGACAGTTTCATTCGCGGCTGCAAACGTCATCAGAGCTGACGCTGATGGTGGCGTCACTCCCTACTCCGTTTATCCACGGGCAGCAGAGGACATTGTCGCCCTCTGCTGCCCGCTCTACCCTTTCCGATGATGCAGTCCCATGCACGATCCAATGTGTGGACCCCATTGTCTCTGTTCATGGTCCCACATCCACGTCTCCTTATCTCGATAGCTTCTTTTATCCATCTTTTGTATTTCTGTTGTTCGGTGTTTATGATCCTTGTGTTGTCCCAGTCCATTATATGGTTTTCTCTTGTGCAGTGATCTGTTACGGCTGACTTCTTTATTGTGCTTTCTGCTTCTTCTTTTGCTGCTCTTGTGTGTCTTCGACTTGTTTCTTTCTCGCACTCCTTTCTATGTTCTATTGTTCGTGTGTTGAGTTGGCGTCCGGTTTCTCCTATGTATGTTTATTTTGGAGTTTGCATGGGATTTTGTAAACGAGTCCACATTTAAGTCCAGCTGATATCTTGTCTTTTGGGTGTACTAGTCTGTTTCTAACTGTTGTGTATGGTCTTGTTGGTGTGTTTATGTTGTGCTTTTTTATTGTTGCTGTTATTTCTTCTGTTATGCCCTTGATGTATGGTAGGGTTATCACTGGTTTTGGTTCTCGTCTTTCTGTGTTTCTGGTTCTTTGCTTTGGTTGTTCTTTTCTTTCTGTCGTTGTTTTCCTTTGTTTATTGCCCATGTCGGGTATCTGCAGGTCTTTAAAGCGTGTTGTATGTATGTATATATGAGATAAGGAGACGTGGATGTGGGACCATGAACAGAGACGATGGGGTTTACTCATTGGATCGCACCTGGGACTGCATCATCAGAGAGGGGAGAGCGGGCAGCAGAGGGCGACAATGTCCTCTGCTGCCCGCGGATAAGCACGGAGTAGGAAGTGACGCCACCATCAGCGTCAGCTCTGAGGAAGTTTGCAGCCGCGAACGAAACTGTCAGCAGCAAGGTAGAAAAGAAACAGTTTCTGTGTTTTAAAAAAGAACCAAAAATGGAATTAGAAATCAAACACAGTAAGAATGTACCAAAGATGTTTTTGTTCCTGCAAGAATTTACTAAAGAAATTTCACTTGGAAGCACAATGGCATGATCTATGTGTTGGCTTTATCAAAATCAATAATAAACGGCAATAATTGAAAACTTTTTTGCATTTGAGCCACTGACAAACTTCATTTGTTTGTAATTATTATTCATCTTATTTGCATGCTTGCTGCTGTGAGATCAGGTCCTTGTTGTCTCTTATGACTCACAGAGGAATTAAATTCAGAAGGGCTCCAGATGTCTACATGGCTGTGACTGCAGAGGAAATTTGTCTTAAAACCTTTTAAATGTACTTAAAATTGAACCAACAAAAGTTAGCAGCTCATTCAGGGAAACGGAGAACCATCGGGATAGTTTCAAGTTATTTATTACTCACTCATCAATAATGTTCATGATTGGAGACACAGAGAACCGATGTAAGGCAAGGCAGCTTTACTTGTGCAGCACATTTCATACACAGAGGCAATTCAAAGTAGTTTCCATTAGCAAAGTGAGTGATTCCTTAACTTTCATGTTGCGGTCACCACCAATCAGCCAGTCGGAAACATCATAATAAAAGTAAACTTTTGGTTTTGGCCCCATTCAGAACTTTCTTTAGGCGCCCCTAGGTCGTGCTGCTCTTTGAGCCACCTGCTGTCTGCTGAGCAGCCTGACCACACACCCTCATGGTGCCAGTGATTACTCACACACACACACACACACACACACACACACACACACACACACACACACACACACACACACACACACACACACACACACACACACACACACACACACACACATAAACAACTGCAGCAGACCGATGTCATCGCCCTTTCTCCTGTCTCTGCTTGTGCGACACAAACCAAATCCAAGCAAGTATTTCTTAAAACGTGTACATAAACAGGAGCAGTAGTAAACCAACTAAATTAGAAAAATAACCACTTTCCCATGCTGCCTCGTAGGAGCTGGGATTTGTTCATTGGAAATCAGCCCATTCCAGTATGAGACGGATAAAATGCCCATTTGCATTAGCTTCAGGGTGACTGAAGTGTCTTTCTGTCTCATTTGAAGCAGTATGATACCGATCATGTGCTGTTGGAGTGTGTCTGTGCCAAGCCCCCATAATTCGGGTCTGGATATGAAGCAAAACAGGAAGTAACAAAAATTGCAGTTCCACCCTCATCCGCTGGGGCTGGTGTCAGAAGCGAGCAAATCCTCATTGACTCCCATGTTAAAAATACCAACTTCACTCCGGTGTTGTGCAGTTAACTCCAGTTGTAGCTAGGTAGCTACTTCCGTTAGCTTAGCTCCCACCTCCGCGTTAGCTTTGGGTTAGCTTGTAGCTACATCTCTTCAGTTCGACGAGTGTCTTCATTTGATCCCAGCCTTACAGCCCCACCCTCAGCTCCACCTCTTTTCCCTTTTTTGGACTTGTCTGGGCTTGATGGAACCTGTGACATGGTCAAAATGGCGGTGGTGGCCACCTCCCATTTTGGCACAAAAACGTATAATTGGAGCCTATGGACACGAATTGTCCAGTATATTTGTCAATGGTCTGTGCGGAACATGTTATTCCTAGGTTTAATACACAAACAAGTCCCTGTTTGAGTTTTTGTTTAGGTTTGAACAATAATCAGCACCAACATACATTTTTAGAGGGTGACTTGTTTTTACAGTTTTTAACATTTGCCTCATTGATCAGGCATTAAGCAAAAGATCAAATCCAAATGTGTTTGAGCAGACCAGCCAACGTTTCTGCACAACTACAAAGACGCTATCGTTGAAAGTGTATCGCGCGTCACTGCTGAAGGACTTTTTGCAAAATCTGTAACAGCAAATACAATGGAAGTGTCTTAACAAGCAATCAAATACACAGTGGCTGCAGCTGGTGAATCACACTCTCATTCCAGTGACTGAAACTGGGCCAACCTTGCAATTGGCTAAAGAGCAAGTCACCCCCAGAGTCTTACTCCACCCACCTTCCCACCAAAAGGAGGGATTGCCTGGTGGACCAAGAGGGCAGCACCACAGCAGTGACTGAGACAGCCACATCCCAACTCGCAGACATCTAGTGTATTTGACCTGACTTGTTCCTGTAATCTTATGGAATCATGTAATCTACAGATTACGAGGAACTGATACAGATACCTGAACCGAATTATGTTTTTCAGGTGTCAAAACAGTTCAAAGATATGTCACCATAGTAACCCAAAACATAGAGGATAAACATTTAAAAGAGGAGAAAAACAGCCACAAAACTGCAATTTTCAGGTCTAAGAATCTTGTACAATCAGTCTTCTTCTCTCCACCCTCCTAAAATAAGGCTCTGTGGGTCTTCAAGTTCCCACTCAGCAAAATAGATCAGGACTAAATCAGCATTTTCTCTTTTTGAAAAACAAATTAAGCGCAGCCAGCATGTTACAGTATCCCAGCTTCAGCTTTACTGAGCTGGCTGTAAAAACGAGCCCATGTTTCATTGTTTCATCTACGTCCAATAAGGAACTATGGTGTTGTTATGGTTACAGCAACCTTTTTAATCCTAATGAAAAAGGCAAACATCAAGATTATTAAATGGCCTATCCTATTTAAAGGCACACTTAACAGTTTAGTCTGCTTTTAGCACCCCCTAGTGTCCATTTTAATTCACTGTTGTAAAACCGAAACTTGTACTTTGACCCTCGCTGTATGTTTGTGTTTTTAACGTCTGCTGAAATGTCTCCTCAGCCTTCATTATTTTCTACAGGAGTTTTTCATCACTAAATCAATTTGAGTGAAGCATCCTGCTGTCCATGACAGCTGGGGAGATATTACTGGAAGACAAGATGAATGGTTCTCTACAAG